ATATAACTTGATTTTTTTTTTTTTTAACAAACAAAAATGGAGGATAGGGCGGTGGTGGCACACTCCTTTAATCCCAGCACTTGGGAGGCAGAGGCAGGAGGATCTCTGTGAGTTCGAGGCCAGTATGGTCTCCAAAGCGAGTTCCAGAAGGCACAAAGCTACACAGAGAAACCCTGTCTTGAACCCTCCCCCCAAAAAAAACCAAAACCTATGCACAAAAATGGAGGATGTAATAATGTTGACTTACCTATGATTTTTTTCCCTATTTTTTGGGGTTTTACAAAACTGTTTTAATTATAAAGACTTATTTATATTATGGGAGATGTCTAGGTTATGAAATATTAGGATGTTAGAGTTAGATGTTAGAGTAAGTCCACGGGTCTGACTTAATGTTCCTCGCCAGTGATGGGGTAGAAGAACTGGTCATTTCCATTAGGTCTCATAATTGCTGCTTGGCTGATAGACTTATAGCCCAGATTTTGATATTACTTCTAGGTTACAGAAACCAATAATGAGAGTCTCAGTTCTTTGAGGTGTATGATGAAAGATGTTTTTCATGGGATGCCTTCTTTGGTCATGTTGTCAACAAAAGTGTTTTTTAATGCATACCCAGTAACATATCCACTGCATTTTTGATTTGCTTTTCTGATTCTGTCTTTACCCATTACTACAATTAGAACTTTTTGTGTTTGGCAGCAATACTTTCAAATGAAAGCAATTTTGCTTGCATACATACATACATACATACACACACACACACACACACATACACATGTATGTCTAGGTGAAATAAACAAATTTTTATTTTCTAGAATGGAAATTTGGTTTAGTGATCAGGTTAACGCAGTATTAATCAGAAATGAACTTATCCCTGGGGTTCACATGTAAGCTGGCATGTTGAAATGATCTGAGTCTCAATCTGCACATCTGAATTCATTTTGTAAAATATGGCGAGCAGCTGCATCCCCGTGGAAAGCTCAGACAACTGCAGGACATTAACCCATTGAGAAGATTACAGTAGGTTTCAGTTCCATGTTAACCGTATTTATTAGTGAAAATTGACTTGAGTGCTTCTGCTTCTAACAGACTTTTTTATGTCTAGAAGAAAGGAAATAAAGCATTGGAATGATAGGACTTTGATGTGCAAAGAAGTTAATGTCCAAAGAAGTGATTATCTAAATCATCAAACCAAATGGGGGTACAGGAAAGAATTATTCTGGAGTCTAATGAGCTATCAGCCTATCATGTCAAGAAAAATGTTATTCACCTGTTTGATTTAGAAATTAAGTAACTTGTCTGTGAAAGGCCGATTGTGGTTGTAATAAATTTGGATTGGAACCCTTTGCCTCTTACCAATAAATACCCTTGATAGGAACCATTTCTAGTGGGGAGACAACTGGAAGAGAGAGAGAGAGCTGGGCATCAAAGCCAGGGCCTGGCCCTAGTATACATTTGCTCTCTGGAATATGTTCTCTTTAGAGTTAAAGCAGGGTGGCTGGGTTTGAAATGGAAGGAAGGGACAGATTGTTTCAGTGGCGTCACACCATACCCCACACAGTGCTGTGTGTCTATCAAATCTGAAATGAGTCAGCTCACATCCTGACTTTGGGAGGCTGGGGTTAATGCAGAATCCTTGAGGTTGCTATTTCTCCAGGCCTTGTGTTGGAACCACTGGGGAACACTGGGGGTGGAGGGTCCTTGAAAAAGGGACGCTGTGTTCTCTTTGTGCTGGTCTGTCTGTAGAAATCTGTAGTTCTTGTTTCCCTAGCCATAGACTGGTGGCGTGATTATTTTTTTTTTTTTAACCTAAGTTTCAAGCTGGAGTTTGACGGCATGTGCCTGGAATCCCAGCACATGGGAGGTGGAGGCAGGAAGGTTACATAACAAGTTCATTGCCAGCTTAGAATCCATGAGGCTGTCTAAAACCAAATACAGCAAGGGAATGTGGGTAGGTTCTTTCCTTACTTTGTAGAAAAATAGTAATCATTTCAAAAGTTTTTGTGAAAAACAACAAATTTAGACTTAAAGGAAAGTGATAGCTTTTCTTAGCATTAGAATTTTTTTTTTTTCTTTTAAAACATGTTTGAGTGTTAGGTTCAGTGTGAGTGAAACTTTGTCCTTCAGAGTGCTCATGTTCTGTGCCCTGGTTAGTTGTAGACTGCTCAGCATAGGCCAAAGACATATCGGGGTGTTTTAGACATAATCACATACAAGTGTGTGTGTGCATACTTATTATGATACAGTTAAGATGCTGTTTGCCCTAGATCTTTGTGTCACGTTTTAAAAACTGTCCATCTTGGGCAGTTGAGTACAGTAGCTTTTTCTCTAGCTTAGTTTCATACCCTGTCCTTGAGGAGTGCCCCTGGTCTGGATTCCCTTGGTGACGTTTATCATTTTCCACACTTGGTCAGATTAAAAGGACATATTATGGAAATGAATTTGACAGGCACCTAGAGAGTGAACTGAGTGTGAAAGAGAGGAGAGTTTGTAGAGTGTATAGTGCCGAGCAAGCAGGGAAGAAGAGGCCCTGTCTTCTTACACATCACGGAGTACAGGGAGGGTGAGAGGCAAGATGGAGGGTTTGAAGTAAAAGTATTCTAAATTGATAGAAAAGCTTTTGTCAGATCAAGACGGGGCATGTTAAATATCTTTATTGTAATAGCTAACATTTATTGTATACTTACTGTATCAAGATTGTTCCAAATTGTTTTCTATATGAGTTCATCTAATAGTCACAGTCTTTGAAAAGTAGGGCTATTGTTCTCATGTTATAGATGAGATAATGGAAGCAGAGAAGTAAAGTGGCTTCGCTAAAGTCCTAACAAAGCAACCGAGCTGGGAGCTGAACCCAGGCAGTCTGCCTCTGGAGCCGCCAAACACTGAAATCAAATCTTTATGCAGGGCCTTAGCTTCATCTCACGCCTGCCACAGAATCAGGCGAAACAGGCTTTCTTTCATTACCGTGGGTCTGGTCATCAGCAAGAGGACCTCAGGAGACAGAGGACCTCAGGAGACAGCACCCTGTGTAGACGGTGTGCGGTCTGCCAGAAACTGGGGGAAAACTCGTCAGTGCCTATACCTATAGCTCAGGGAGGTAATACACTCTACTTTGAGATGTGCAGAACGCGAAAGCATCTTCCACAGGCCACTGAGAGCCAATGCACAGGATTGGGCCGCATGTTTCCACTTGCGGGAAGCATCCCCCAGGCTGAGATCTCCTGTCTCCTGTTAATATATAGACTGCTCAACTCAGCCTTCCCGGCAAGGTGCCCCTTTAGGCTGCCATGTTCCGGGCGGATGTTCATCACAGTGGGGTCCTTTCCCTGCCTGGGCTCTGCCTTGTGCACTGCTGTCAATGGGGAAGCCCGCCCTCTGTGCAGCACCAACTCGAGACGACGCTGCCTCACCACCTAGACCATCCCTGGACCCCTCTCAGCTGCCTTATCCCGTGCTCTCAATTTGTGTTCTCTCACAGACTCCGCAACTTAGGGAAAGTTTATATAAACTGGGAGTAATATTTATTGTGTGTTTATTTTATGGTAGTTGGTACTTTACTTACTTCGATGACTTTTGTGTTCTTTTGACTAGTTCTTGTTTGCTAATTATTATTTAATTTAGTGCCATGTACAATAAATAAAAAGGCATGCTTTAGGATTGGCTAGTTTTTCATTATATATCAGCCTGATTTAATAGTGAAAGTGTCACATTTTAAATTGAGTCAATTATTTGCTCATAAGATTATAAAATGTAATGCCCACTTCTGATCTATTGATTGATTTTGTACTATAATTTAGGGTTTGGTTCAAATGAGAACTAGATTGTGCTGCTTTTTTTTTTCTCATTTTGTATGTTATAGTTAAAAGAACTTCTTTAAATGAACTCTTACCTTGTACTCGTAAAGCGTGTGTGTGTGTGTGTGTGTGTGTGTGTGTGTGTTCCTGTGCATGCACACGCATGTGTGTTGGATTCGTGTGTGCGGCATATGTAGAGGCCAGAGGTTGATATCAGGTTGTCTTTCTCAGTCACTTCTTCACATTATTTTATTTATTTATTATCAAAACAGTATTTCTATTTGAAAAATAGCCAAAACAAATGCTACATTCTGTCCCAGATGCTTAGGTGTTCAGTAATGATGCGGTATGTTGTGTCATGCTTACGGCAGCAACAGATCTTTATCATTTTATAGTAATTCTGAATAGGTCAGTCCTTAAAGCCATTCCTCAAAACCCAGAGCTCCCCTTTCAGCTAAACTGGCTGGCCAAAGAATATCCAGGATCCACTTGTTCTCTCTCCCTAGGGCTGGGTTTATAAGGTTGTGCTGCTGGGGTTGGGAATTTAGCTCAGTGGTAGAGTGCTTGCCTAGCAAGCGCAAGGCCCTGGGTTAGGTCCCCAGCTCCGGGTGTGTGTGTGTGGGGGATAAGGGTGTGCTGCTGTGCCAGCTTTCACTTGGGCTGGACTCCAGGAGAGTGCTACAGTGCCAGCTTTCCCTTGGGCTGGGATCTGAACACAGGTCCTCATGCTTGTAAAACAATCATGGTCCCCACAGCCAACCCTCCTGCTCCAAAGTGACTTCTGTTTCTTTTGGTCTGTGTGAAACTGGGGGAACTTAACTGTGTTACGTGTAACTGTGTTACACTCCCTGAAGAATTGCTAATGAGACTTTGGGTGGTGTGCGACACTCTGGAGAACTTCCAACCCATGCCCAAGTAGTTTAACCAGTATTTCTGTTCTATTGCTTACTATAGTGTAGGTGCTGAATGTGTACTAGTCACATAGACAGCTATTTGATACCTAAACTGACTAAACAGCTTTCTCTCACTATACTGTTTTTCATTTGAATGAAGACATTAAGTAGAAGAAAGTTGGATTTATACAGAACTGAAATTATCTGCAATTTGAAGGTTTCTCTACTTTTTGAAGTAATTTAGAATTGCCTCTATTTTGTGTACTTTTCATAGCTAACTATGTGTGTAAGTATTATTCCTTTCCTTTTTTTCTAGATGAATAATACTGCAGCTAGCCCGATGTCTACGGCCACTTCAAGTAGTGGAAGAAACACAGGGAAGGCGATAAGCTTTGCTGCAGAACTGCAGAGCATGATGTGAGTGTGCCTTACATGCTATTACTGTTGCTATTTTAAATTGATAATGTTGAAGAAGAACATTGAAATAAAATGTATAAACCTTAGCTTCATGTACTTTGTATTTAAACAAATTAAAATAATCTCAAAACATTTAAAAAGCTACATGTAAGACAGGCAGAGCTGGATATTAGTGCTGTAGTGGTGCACTGTATTTGAAAACTGAGTACCAGCTCACCTTTTTGTGGATAGTCAAAATGTTTTCAGAGAAGGTTGCAGTTTTTCTCAATTCTCCTAATTTAGTGAGCCTAATTCAAAGTAGTTTTTTAACTTTGATAATATTTGAACCATTGCATTTCAGATTATTATGGGAAACACAAAGTGTTAAAAAAAATCACATGTATTGAATCTTTGAGAAATTGCACATTTGTTTAAGAAGTCTTTCCAAAGGCTATTCTCACCTTGCGGTGAATGAGACAGTTTATCTTAATTGGGCGGAGTAGCAGATTAGGGAACCATGTAAGCACTCAGTTCTTTCCTAGTGGTTTAGGAGACAGGTATCTATAGGAAGAGGCAACGTAGGTTCTTTCCCAATGATCCTTAGGCATTTTAAAAGAATATTTCTGTGCAAAGTTTAAATGCCTTCCTCATGTGTACATTGATAGCCTTTGGAGTGGGTTGACTCTACTATGTGATAATAGTTCAAAGCACATTTTTGGTAAGTTTGATCGCATTTGATAGTCTCTCAGTAGACATACTTCAAAGAAAGTATGAACACTGAAAGCGCTGATGTCATAGTATCTCAGACTTTCTGCTCTCAGCAGCTCTTTATAGTCTTAATTATTGAGAATCTTTGAGAACTTTGGTTGTATGGGCCATCTATATCTATTGAGTTCTTGGAATTTAAAACTGAGAAGTAAAAATGTATGTTTTTATTTGAAAAATAATAAACTTATATGTGAATATAATCTATTTCTTATAAAAATTGTGTTCTAAAACCAAAAATTGATAACACTTGTGATTGCTAAGATGGGGATAAACACTACTTTAGAAGCTGACTTTCGTGAGCCTGCCTGTATCATAAATTGTGGGGCACTTTAAGAGTTTAGAGATTTGTATACGCGGTGGTTTTCCATTATAGTTTAACAGGCTTTTTGTTAGCAAACTTTGATGTTATGTTACAGTAATTGTATTTAAAAATTTAAGTATGTGCTTTATGATAAGGCGATAAATTTCATTTTTTTCCCTGTGGCACTAAATTGATTTACTCGTATTTTTTAACTGTGAATTTGGATATCTTCAGAGTCTTTACATTATAGTATAATGTACCCCATGTATTTTTTATTTGAATTTAACAGTAATTCACAGTCTTATTTGGCCTTTCTTCCTAACATGAAAAAGATGAAGTATTTTAAAGCTAATCTCATAGGGTTTATTAAAACGATATATAAGGTAGTAGATAAAACACCAGGTGATGTACAGCATGAGTCCCCAGCCTATAGCCCTGTGGCCTGTGGGAGTAAGTGAAGTTCACTGGATGTCAGTGATGCTCACTCATTTATCTGTCACTCACTGCTGTCTTCATGCTACGTGGCAGAGCTGGGAATTTGTAGCAAACCCATATGGACCATGAGGCTGAAAACATTTACTATCTAGGTTTTTGCAGAAGTTGACCTCTGAGCTATAAACCAGCTCTCTATATAAAGAAAACAGAAACTTAGGAGTGGTTCTGCCTAACATTTATATCTGATAGACCTAAGACCATTAAAGAAAGTTGAGAAAAAGAAAAGAAAAGCTAAATTCAGCACTTTTGTATTAAATACTTTCACACACGTCTTCCCCAGCAATCTCCCTAAGCTGGGTTCTGAATGTAAAGGTTATTGTTGGCTGCGACTCTGGAATAAGTGTGCACTTTCCCTTCATTTCAGACCTGGGGAGAGCCCACTCTTAATAGTACATTCAGCATTGAGAGGCTCAAGTTTTCCCCTTATGAATTGTTCCTCAGAAAGGGAGCTAGAGTCCAAGTGAGGGGACTCCTTTCCAATTTGTCAGTACATCCTATTGCTTTGAGAACGTCAGGCTTTAGAGCATGTACAAGTGAAGTCAGTGTACGTGCAGTCCTTGGTCCTGTGCATTTTCAGATGAGGGAGTGCAGACTTGATCCCTGCCTACTGGTGGGAACTGTACTCCGAATTCTCACCGCTGCTGTTTTCACAGTTGAGCCTGTTTGTGTTGCTGTTCCCAGTCCTCTGCTGCTGCCGTCTTCTCTGTCTATTAACTAGTAGTAAGTTGTTTATTTTTCAGCTGCAGGCTAGCTGTGACCATTACCTAGTCTTTTGTCAAGGATTGGTATCACTGAGAACTAGTTGTCAATCACAATGAAAGCTGTCCAGTTCAGTTAATAAACACAAAGTGGCAGCCTTACCAAACAGAAGGGAAAGAAACCCAGAGCAGCTCCTGAGTTAGGCAAGCGGGAGGGGGAGAGGAAAGGGACCGTCTGCCGCAATCCCTTGTCGAGGGCAAGTGGTATACCAGGGTGTGTGTGTGTGTGTGTGGGTGTGTGTAGCCGATTCCTCTTTGTTCTATTTTGTGTGTGTGAGTGGTGTTTTGTCTGTGTGCATGTCTGGGCACCACTTGCGTGCCTGGGGCTGGAGGGACCCCGAGAGGGTCCTGGAGTCCTCTCATCTTTACACACCAACCCATACCCTCTCCTGTGTTTCAGGGTTCGTTGTTCTCTGTTGTCAGGGGGGCTCTAACTGAAAGCAACTTCACTTCAGATCCACTTGCTAGGGAGTGGTCCTACCACACAGATTCCATGAGCCTCCCCCCTCCCTCCCCCCACCCTCCCTCCCCTGCTGGAACTCTCCCGTGATCTGATAAGAAGTGATTCCCTGCCTCTCGCTTTGTTCCCTGGGCTTTTCTCTTCCGGTGCCAGTTCTGCATTAGGGTAGTTATTAGAGCTTCTTAATGTGTTTTAATATTTGGTGTTAGAGTTCAAGTCCGTCCACATGAGTTTTCTTTTTAAATATTTTTGGCCCCTTCTTATTTTTATGCTTCCAGATGAATTTTTAGGAATCATTTCAACAAGCTCCAAAACAAATTCTAAGTGCAAATTTTAAGAACTTTCATATTTTGTTTCTTTTTATGCCTTTTACTGTATTCTCAGATTTCAGACATGGGTCTTTGCAATGCATTTTACTTTTAAAGTTGACTAATGAAGTAATTTTACATTTAGAAAGTTTATTTGAAACAACCCCTGATAGAAACAGTAAAAACAAGCAGACTAATGAGTGGGTTGCTTGCCTAGTGTATGATTAGAGACCAAAAAAACTTCTCAGTTTTCTTTAATATTTGTTTTTCTTATTTGAATGTAGAATTGTGCTGTGACTGCAGTATGCAAATATCCAGCCAGTTTATCACCTTAATTTTTAATCGTGGTAGTGATTTTATTTTTGAATGGCAAGAAATGATCAGTTTTAAATGGTTAGTTCAATTTTTAAAAATGGATTTATGATACTGCATTCTGACTAATAGAGTAATATACATCAGTGTCCATTCAGTAGTCCAGAGAGACTGGTATATTCAGTGTATTCATTTGTGAAAATAAGTGATGATAGAGTGGTCTTCCTCTGGCCATTTTAACGGAAGTATTTCTACAGGAGATCTACACTTCTACACAAGCGTGTGTGAGTGCTGAGCACACTCAGATAGAATGGCAGGCAGGGTCCATTAGAGTTCAGTGGGCTTTCTCTGGCCAGACGCTGGGCTCTTACAGAGGGGTCACGTGTGGTCTGTTCCCGTGATAAATTGTGCTTGTTTTTTGCTTTAATTTACTGCTTGCATAGTTTTAATTTTTTTCACTCTTTGGTGTTTGCTGATTTGTTGTTTTCGTTCCAGACATGAGCAGCGTTTCTCTGTCGTCATACCACTGAGAAGGTGTAGCAAGACCTCTGCAGTGCCAGGGCGGGCAGCTTGAGAACAGTTCTGAAGGGCTGTCATGTTAGTAAGGGAGATAGGCAGAGAAATCTGACTGGAAGTGTGTTCACCATCGCATAAGCTGTCTGGGACTCAGCTGAAGCAGGTGACACACTTTTCCTATAGCAGTGCTCTGCTGCTGCCCATAGGCCTGGGAGTCAAGGCAATTGGGTTGATTTAGGAATCTGAAGGGCAGATGTTATTGAAAGTTATTAATTTGACATGTTGGAGGTTCTGTCCTATAGGTAGGGTATAAAATACAATGGGGTTGATCAGCTTGGACACAGCGTGAGAAGGGATCGGTGTGCTCAGTGCACTGTACTGAAACATAGAACATATATAAGTGTGGGAGCTTCGAGGGTCAGCCATCTCTCTGACTTGTTCTCCTGGAGGTCTCCGACTTCCGTGCTGTCCTGTCACCTTTCTGTGCATTTGGCACCTTGGCTCTTTCTAGAAATGACCTCACTCTAGTGTTTTACATGCTGTATTTGTCTGTGTTTGGTGTCTGCTCTCAGAGCTTTCAGAGCTTTTCCTGATGTGCTCTGTCTGGCGACTTATCGGTGCTAGGAAGTGGGAAGTGGTGACCATACTGATATGTGTTCAGGAGGGCAGCCTCCAGGGCAGGACAGCAGTTGACGTCTTCAGAGTCTTCCAAATAGAAGGGGTAGGAAATAGGAGCCTGGAGGATCCTCATACATGGATCCATGTTTTGTTTTTCCCCCCCTCTTAGTACATTGATTCTGGTTTTTGTCTTACATGAATGAAAGTAATCTTAAGTGTGCTTTCTGTGTTTAGAGTTGGTTTATATTGTTGCCTCTTCACTGCTTCCTTGACAGTTTGATATTTATAAACTACATGTGGGTGGTGGAAGGAGGAGGAGGGGGGTAAAGCTTGGCCAATAGGACGGAATCCTAACTGTTTTAACTATCTTTGAAATGTTATGAGATGCAGTAACAATATTTATCTCTAAGGTAGATAAGTCAGATGATGCCTGCAAATCATTTACATAGATTGTAGTTGTTCAGTAGAACTCTATGTAAATGACT